GGCATTTTTATATTTATGTACACAATAATAATCTTTTACATTTTAATCCTTTAATTTTTTATTTTTAAAAATGTCTGTGTGCTGCTGCGCATCCCTGTGTGAGTAATAAGCAAAGTGTACGCGTGTTGTTCACCCGCCTATAGTCGCATATTACTAACGCGCTCTTTAAATAACAAAATAAAATATTGCGCCAGACTTTAGACCAGGTTTTTGTTGGTCAATGGTGCAGTCTATTTCAGTTGCCTCAAAATAGCAACGCGCCAGTAATGCGCCTGAACACACCTCGTTTTCAGACCAGCACGCCCATGGGCGCACAAATGGGCGCAAATGCATTCGCTATTTAAACAGCATGGCGCAGGACGTGAAAATGACAACTGCGTGGGGCTGAAACTTGCAAAAAACACATGCGTCGCGCCTGGTGCCAGGTGTATGATAGGGCCCATGGAGGTTGAACAGGTTTGAACAAGTACCACCAGTGACATAACCAGTAAACCACACAGTAAAGCACTATTTGTCATCGACAATAGTACAGTCCTGCTTCAAAACAATTTTGACATATAAGCTCAAATAATAAGTCCAATAATAAAAAAAACTTCCCATTTCAAGTCTATCTTTTCCATCCTAAGAAAAGAAAATCAGGTTTGAAGGGTCATCATGTGCTCTTCACAGCTGAAGCACCAAACACTCAGTGGTCTTACTCATCCTCATTCCAAACTAACCCGTGCAGAGTCAACCAGCTCTTGTCTGCCAGAGGCCAGAGGCGTACACTTACCCCCACCATGATTCTGATTATCTCTCATCTGAGCTCGGAGCAAATGTCAACACTCAGGAGCATACTAATGGCTTCTGGAACAATTCAGTGTGGAAATCTGCCTCGTCTTGTATAACAAGTAAATCTGTTATCTTTAAGCAGTTATCCACCGAAAAATTCAAGTTCTGTTATAATTTACTCTCATGCTAATAATCAGCATGGTTTTTATTTCTTCTGTGGTCCACAAAGGCAGATGTTTAGCTGAATGACCAAGTTGCTATTCGTCATATACTTAAGGTTTTCCAAAGTCATGCAATCCACTCGAAAACACAGGTTCCAGCTAGAATCAAAAATAGTTTAATTGCAGTAGCAGAACATTTTTAAGTTTCACAAGGAACTTTTTTTATTCTCTAGTCTGATGCTTTTAAGCTTTAACTGATGCTTTTAAAATACCAGAAAACCACTCATGTGAAGAACTCATAAACATATAGATCAATAACTCAAGGTCAAAAGCTTTGGTAACACTTTACAATAAATTTGCATTAGTTAACACAAACTAACAAAATGAAAGTTCAACAAAATGAAACTTTCGGTCTTGTTTAATGCTCGATCATGAGAAAAGCATTCAAGGACAAGTGAGGAGTCATTGATGTGGCATTGATGGATACGCGACCGACCTAGCATTTGCAGATGATAGTGACATATTGGCTGGTACAGATGAAGAAGATCACAGTGGCTGCATAAGTTCAATGTTGAATCGGACAAGAAATAGCACCGTTTGCATTGCTTAAATGGTGTTTGTGGAAGAAGGCCAGCATCACCAAGATGCACCTTTTCCCAACCCTGATCTTTCCGATTCTAATCTACGAATCAGAGACCGGACCCTTCTAAAAATGGAAATCAACAAAGTCGGGGTCTTTCAAATGTGATGCATCAGCCAAATCTTGGGCATATCTCTGTTTAACTGACTCCAGAACAAAACTATTAACTGAGAATGTAGCAACCAGTTAACGATCGAAGAGACGATACAGAAGTCATTCGGCACCTACAGCAGCATATGAGCTACAAAGACGTCTTCAACACGACACCAGCTAAGGATCAGAGAACACAAACTAACAATAAAGCATACTTCTAAAGCATTGATTCATCTTAGTTAAAGGGGTGGTTAATTGTTAGTTTGTTTTTTTAACGTTAGTTAGTGCCTAAATTTGGTAGTGCAGCCTGAAGTGCGCAACCCACTCGACACTGGAACGACCACCGCTGAAGCGCTGTCTCACCAACACAGAAAGCTTCCGAGAGTGTGCTGAACTCGTAGTTCTCGAAATTAATATAGAGCAGAACGATGTTGTCGCTTAAGCATTGATTCATCTTAGTTAAAGGGGTGGTTAATTGCGATTTCACTTTTTTAACGTTAGTTAGTGCCTAAAGTTGCTGTTTGAGCATAAAAAATATCTGCAAAGTTACAAAGCTGAAAGTTCATTGCAAACGGAGATATCATCTTTTAAAATTCTGGCAGTTTAATGCCTACAAAAACGGGTTCTGCATGATCCTCTTCAATAATATCCTCTGCTTCTCAACCGGGCTCAAACTCATAAGCGATATTAACGATGCCATTGTTTACATACAACCGGAGCACATGCCGCCGAGGTGAGCGGTGGGGCGTTTAAAAAAAAAACAGTGAACCACCCCTTTAATGTAAATTACAACATTTACTAATAGTCTATATTATTAAAATCACAAGTTGCATCTGTTAATATTATTTAATGGACCACAGCTAACATGAACTATCAATGAACAGTTGCATCTTATTAAATGAATGTTACAGTAATAATACAAATGTATCGCTTATTGTTAGTTAATCCATTATCTAATGTTAAAGAAGACATATTATGCCCCTTTTTACAATATGTAATATAAGTCTCTGGTGTCCCCAGAATGTGTCTGTGAAGTTTCAGCTCAAAATACCC